GGTGTTTCCTGCTGCTTCTGGCAGCACGCATCACCAGAGGGCGAGCAACCTGCAATCGTATGGACTGGTGGAAAATCGACTTGAGAATGTATGGTGAAATTCGCTTTTAATTAAAAATATCAATAATGGTGCAATTTGTCCGATATATTATTTCTACATAATGTCACTATTACTAAAATATTCGAAATACAGAAATTTTCTCACTTATAGAAGCAAGCTTTGATGAGAAAACGATGATTTTTCGAGAATCTTCATTCCACAAAACTGGTTTATCCACCACTTGCGGGCGACATCTGTCGGATTTGATTGTGGAAACTATTACTCAATTGGTGAAAATGCTAGTTCAATCCAGTAGTAGTGTTGCCATGTGGTACAATCCAGTAGTAGTGGTGTTGCCATGTGGTACACTGAAAAATTGAAATAGCAGGTTAGTCACCAAAGTTTTCGAGCCGCTCCGTCTGTCACTTCGTTTGTGCCTATAGTACCGCACACGGTTTCCGCGCTGACTGTTCCTTACTTTCTCACTCTAATCAAAATTTCCTTCTATGAGTGAGAAAACAGCACCTCGTCAACGCGAGTTAGAATGCAAGTTGCCAGATCATTGCACACAAAACCAATTTGAATTAATTCATATCAAAAATACTAGTGAACCTGGCGGTGAGCGGCGGAAAGTGGTCTAACATTCTATTACAGAGAACCACATTATTTTAATTAATTTCTTCGGAGAAAGTCGTCTGTAACTTCGTTTGTGGTAATATTATGAGCACAAAACGCTTTACACGCTCCACATTCCGATTTACTTCGTGGACATCGGAAGAAGGAAATATAAAGCAAACAAAACAAAACAAAACTGCACAACGAAGAGCTCTATGATGGCATGAACGTTTTTCACGGATGCCAGTAAGATCATTAATTTTTCATGGTTGCCAAAACAACTTTTTGTGCCTCCGCTTATCTATGGAATGTATTGTATCTATAGGAAAGACGCATGGCTTCGCGTTGACGGAATTGGTCCTTTCGGTGGAGTGAAAAACGCACCCCTGGGGTAAAATGGCCCTGCGCTGTTTTTCATAGCTTTACGATTGTCAATTCGTGAATTTAACAATCAGCATGGCTAGTCCAGTGCTTGAACTAACATTCTGGCACATGATATTTCCATAATTAGTAGTGGGAAAGTAAAGAAAACCCGCCAGGGCCATTTTACCCCAGGGGTGCATTATGGGCTGTTCTCCCCTACCGATGGTCAGCCCCTATCTACTGATGCTTGCTTATAGCTAATTTGTTTATTATCCAATTCCAACCTCGATTGGGTATCAAGTTAGGGATGCTTGTTTCTAGCAAACGCCAGTTTGATCGTTTGTTTTTACAACCTGACACGGGTCGACTTTCGAACTGACAAAAAGTTCGGGTTTGCACTGGGTTGGAACTGGTTCCAACCAGGGAATAAACAAATTCACTATTGCTCTGTAACCCCAAACTGGCAAAGAATGCGACTCACAGAGAGACACTCACTCCCGTCTTGTGAAATAAGCACAAGTTGCGATTTGTGGATATAATGAGCGAAAAGGGTAACTAACTTCTCTGAGCTTGACTCAGCTTAACAATGTATTTGTTATCTCAAGAGCCACATGTGAAAAGGGCATACAAGCTTTTTGTAAACAAAACTTTGTAGGCTCTTTTCTCGCCAACCGAGGGTCACCCAAGCAAACCAACAACATCATCGAGAAGGGTAAAGTTTCCCCTACCTAGTGATGATGATGGTTTGCGTTGGTGTCATATGGGTGGCGAGAAAAGGGCATAAGAAGGTTTGTTGACATAAAGCTTGTATGCCCTTTTCACATGTTGTTCTTGATCTGTGAGTTGCCTATGCAATAACGTATTTTCAAGGTGGAAGAGGACGATCTGTACAGTTTACAACAAACTGGAAATCGGATCATGCTCGCTTGATTTCCATCACTGATAATACTGTCTAATTAAACGTTACTTCACATGACAATTAAGCGTTTACAGAGCATCACTGTTTTAGGGAAGCAGCTAGGGGAAGGACAGCTCCAAGTATCGGCATCAATACCGATGGTGGAAATATTTAATATTTTAATATGTGTGATATTTGCGAATCTTATACTTAGTCAGACAGTTCTCGATGAACATTTCAAATGGTCCTATCTGCTTTGATCGATTCTCTTCATCGACTTTCTCTTTCGTTAATAACTCAGCTGCAAAACCTTTCCCTGTTGTATTTGACGTTTTGGACGCTAGATAAGAACCTCCTTTATCAAACTATTGGGTAGAATCAGCGCGAAATCTGTTTGCATAGCAGTGGTTATGAAAAGAGAAAGTCGATGAAGAGAATCGATCAAAGCAGATAGGACCATTTGAAATGTTCATCGAGAGTTGTTTGTTTGTGTTTGACTATGTTTGGTTTTAAGTGTACATTTGACATTCTTTTAATCAAAAATGGATTTCACACGAGAAGCAATTGATGATCTTGCTGGCCACCGCCACCGAAATCCGCTCCTTGTTCTAATAAATTCGGTTGCACTTCCGTTCCCAGGAAATAGCCATTAATTTCCACGTCTGCTAATCAATGTACTGTCCTCCGATGGAACGGGAATCGACTGACTACCAACAATCAATACGAAACTAACGATTTTAAATTGGCTCACTACTTGACTAGCCTATTGGTCCCAAGCAAACGATTAACGTACCTAGTCGAAATTCTAGTACTACGCAATGTTTGTTTTGATTCGCTATGAAAGTTTGACAGATAAAATGAGGGGTTATTGGTTTTTCCTATGTTTCGAGGGGTGAATCGATTAGCTTACGACCGAAGATAGTACCAGAGCTGAGCCAAAAAGTTGAGCACGTTATTTCGGGACCTTCCAGTCTTAGAGTTACCTCTATGTGACTACGCCGTCCCTGTAAACGGAGTCCCAGAGTGATGGTTCCGTGGTCGTACACACTTAAAATTTTTCGCCAAGATTCCAAAAGCCGAGTAGTTCTGCAATTTATTTTGCTGAGATTCAGTAAAACAATTGCCGAGACTCAGCTAACAAATATCATTTTGCTGAGATATCAGCTAACAAACAAATATTTTGCAGATATATCAGCAAAAGTAAATGCCGAGGTAATTGGCTGTTGGAGATTTTTCCGAGCTAGATTAAGTGTGTATTACTCTCGATTCGCCATGAGACTGTAACCTGGAGAGATTTGCTGCTAGGGGAACGTCCAGTGTCGTTTTTATGATTAAAAGCCAAAGACGAAAACGATCAGAGCTATGGAAAACGAAAATTTAGGCAAACATGATGACAAACAGAAAGCTGCAGTAAACATAAACAACAACGGTGAAACGTAATTGAATGTATGCGTTAAAGTTACACTATTAAATTTTTGTAGCTTTCCGCTTGACAGTTAATATCATTAATATTTATACTAAAATCACAGACAAACAGACGTAACTCTTCATTGTGTATCTTTGTTCACGCATTTAACGGTTGATTTGAATATTATCAGTTCCGCGAACTACTCGCCGCAGCGCTGGCATCGGATCACTTTGACGTTTCTATACATTCTATAGAACTTTTATGCAATATTGTTTGCGAGTTAGCGAGCAAGCTTGTTTTCCGCGAGAAGCCTGAAAGATGTCGCTACTGAGGTCCTATGTTTTGAGATACTATGTTTTCAAGAAAAACTTATTCAAAGAGTTACGTCTGTTTGTCTGTGCTAAAATCTATAATAACTACCATTTTGTGCAATTTTTACACCAAATATTACTTCAGATCAAGTTGTACTTCCCCTAGGGAAGCAGTGATGTCTAATAAACGCTGAATAATCAAAAATGTTTTCGAATAAGCTCTGTTACAACTCATATAAGTCGAATAACAACTTCTTGACATACCTTATACAAAACCAATAGATCAAAGTGTTGTGGTTGAATAAATTCTCCAGATTTGTGGAAACAAAGCCTGAACAGAAGTTATTTTTAAAAATAATACAAGTATTATTAAGCATGCAGTTGAATAAAATTTTCAAAAAGTCGTTTCTTCAATAGACGATTGTTTGTTGGGAGGTCTTTTTGTACGTAACAATTAACTTTTAGTCAGCCTTTAATCAGGTTTTAGTTTCTGTGTAGAGTTAGTTAGTGGTTGAAGTGAATAATTATCCAATGTAACAAACAGTGATTGAAGAATAAAAATTATTTTTATTGCATTCGGACTTCGGATTCAGAAATTAAGTCTATATCGTTTTGCTATGGAATGGCTGAATAATAAAAATAATACCTACCATGTTTATGTTGAGGGAAAAGGTTTCTTGAAAATGTCTGTGAGTTTATTACCGAAGACAACATATCATTAAGACTGGCAACTCTTACGTTTTTTTCATGCGACCGCTATGAGATAGGCACAATTGCGCCATCTGTCGCAGAAAGATAATAACTCCATACGAATTTTTTAGCAGTTCTATTGTATCTGTCTGATATGATGTCTTCGGTATAACACAAAACAATACAAAATATACTTAGAAGGACAATTCGGGCAATAAACTAGCTTCACTTTGATTCAGTTGACATTTTTTATTAAATCAACGCGAACAATGGATTACGTCCTAAGTAACATTGACAGATTTTCTTCATCGATGTTATCTTTGCATCCTAACGGCCCAACTTTTTCGATAAACGAAGCTATTATCCAGCAACTAATACGGCAAACACGGCAAGAAACGGTAGTCTATGAAGAGAATCTGTCAATGTTACTAAGGACCTAATCCATTGTGCGGCTTGAAATATCCAATTTCAATATGGTTACAGACAAAGGTATTAGTAAAATTCATTTTGATTGCAAACGCACTTAGCAAAAGGCACGGCTAAAACTAGTATGTATAAAATATTTTACATGTAAAAAAAATGCTTCGTCAGCCTGATTCCGTTTACCGTTATAAAAAAAAACAAAACGATGAAAATATAATAACTACATATATACGCCTACGCCTTTCTATGCAGCTCCCCTATGACGCAAATTGACTAAAATGTGTTAGTTCCCTGTCGTTCTACAACGGCCGTTCCTTTCTTCTCGTTTCTATGTTCAAAAGTATCACAAACAAATAAAAAACGATTTTTTCTTCTCTTCCACACTTGATCCGAACGCGTTCAATTCCCTACTAAACTTGTCCTGTTACCGTACAATGGCACTTGTAATTGTCTTGCTGTTCTAGAAATACGATCCTTGATTGCATATGCCGCAGTTTAAACAATATGATAAGATAATATTTTCAAGTACATTGCTTTGCAGTTTTTGCCAATTTGTTGCATCCCTATCGCTAAATTAAGCACTTGTGTGAGTGTATGAGTCCAGTGCTGCCGGTGGACGCATAACTGCCCCATGCGTCACAAACAGAGAAAATCGCCAGAATGTTAAGGGGTCATCGACAAATTATGTAAGGCAATAGTTGGTGTGAGGGTTATTTCTTACATTTTCTTACAACCCCCATTTTCTTACATAAGATTTAATAGTTAGAAGTAAATAATTTGATCTTGACTCTTTTATGACAAAAATCCCAGGAGCGCATGAAAAAGTTATTTATTTGTATAAAAATGTTCCCAACTCAATATATAGGTTTTGGGAAGACAGAAGGTCAAAAGGACAAACGGTCGAAAAGCCAAAAGCTGATGTAAATATTCTGAAATAGATTTGTCATGACTTCAAACAATTTCTCAACAGTAACTTATACTATTTCCACTTCAATGCTCATTCTTTAAAATTTGGTTTACATTGATTTTGCTTTAATGTTGAATAATATAATTAAAGCTACTATAAATGCCATATTACCTTCATAGAAAATTTTATCATGAGAATTATTTGAAATACTGTGGTTGAGTTTTAAACATGTACACTTTAAACTTTGTAAAACTTGTGAGGTTTAGGATTTGAAAAATTGATGAGATATTAAAATCTTATATTTTTATTAGATTAGTTTTTCTTTTATACATGATAAGATCTTCCGAAATAAATGGAACAACTAAGATGAGCTATTAGAACCTCATATTTGTCAGTGGCTTTTCCTTCTTTTATTCGTGAGCAGTGCTTTAATGTATAAAATATCAATACAATTTACTCTTCTTTAAATTACACTACTTCTTCAAAAATAAATATTTTTGGGGATTTGACCTTTTGTCCTTTCGGCTTTTTGTCCCTTTCAACCTTTTGTGCATTAGACTTTTGTCTTTCGACATTTTATTATGGATATCAATATTTAACGGTTTTCTTGGAACATTAAAATCTTTAAAACTAAGATTTTAAGGGGAACCGGGGTTAACTGTAAATCTTACAGTGTCATACAAGATGGTGAGCGGGGTTCTAATAATAACTCAAAAACCTTACATAATGGATTTCCCCTATGTCGATTTGTCCCACTTGAATGATGAACGCATACTTCACCCACTGGAACAATTCAAAATCAATAACATGAAATTAAAAAAAAAATGTTTCTTAAATCTAGCTTTAAGAATCATAAGGGCGTAACTGCGACGATCGGTTCTCATCGATTTTCTTTTGTGAATCGTTCCAGTGCGACAAATCGATTTTTGTTTTTTTCGAATTTTCCTATAATAAACAGCATGTAATATCCCAAAAGTACACATCAAATTATGGCGATAAGCATTAACCTCAAAATTGCCGAAACGTCACATGGGACAGTTGTTATGCGTCCGCCGGCACTACTCGTTTAAACGGATCATATCCGGTTTTTTCTTGTACAATCTTAAAAAAGATACTGTTACTGCTTCAGTACACGTACGTTAGAAACCCATTGGAAAGTAAATTTAAAAATCATACTTAAAGCACACACACATTCAAATGAACGAAAAAGAAAAACACGGCAAACATTATATCGCACTACCGTACGAGGAAGGAACCTTAAATACGATTACAGCACCGGAATGTTCGAAGGCGGGCGTCTCGACGCCTGCGACGGCTTCTACGCTCAGCGTGCGCATCTTATTGCCCAGGCGAAGTTGGAACGTCGGCGATACGCTCACCGGAAGGTCCTGGTTGCACAGTCTGAAACGGGAACGAGAAAATGGGATTATAATCGGTTGATCGATTTATGAAGATATGTAGACTTAGAGCAGGGGTGCTCATCTACATGCGGCTCACAGATTGATTGTTTCTTCTTCTTCTTCTTCTTCGCATTTCAAGCTTATTGCATATCGCATATTAGATTATTGCGTGCTCTCAACTTAGTGTTCTAGATGCACTTCCACAGTTATTAATTGAGAGCTTACGATGCATGTACCATTTTTGCATTGGTATAATTGTGTGGCAAGTCCAATCATACTTCTATGCCCAGGGAAGTCGAGAAATTTTCCAACCTGAAAAATTCCTAGACCGGACCGGGAAATTGAACCCAGCCACCTCCAGCATGGTCTTGCTTTGTAGCTGCGCCTTTACCGACTGAGCTAAGGGAGGCCCCTATTGATTGTTTGCGGTCCGCGGAATGCTTTCAGTGTCCGCAGACTGACCAAACATTTCAAAGATGCTTGATGTGTGTTGTAATTTCATAATAGTACTGTAGAGTTTAGGATTAGAGTGTTCAGAAGCTTGGATAGGATTTGAGAGAGCAAGCAAGATGTAGAGAGAGAAATAGAATGCGGGGTTGTAGGTAGCAGTTTCATCTAGCTAGAGGATTGAGGATTGGACGGTACAAGCAACAATCAATACGAAACTAACGATTTTAAATTGGCTCACCACTTTAGTAGCCTATTGGTCCCAAGCAAACGATTAACGTACCCTATTCTAGTCGAAATTCTAGTACTACGAAATGTTTGTTTTGATTCGCTATGAAAGTTTGACAGATAAAATGAGGGGTTATTGGTTGTTCCTATGTTTCGAGGGGTGAATCGATTAGCTTGGGACCGAAGACAGTACCAGAGCTGAGCCAAAAAGTTTAGCTCGTTTCTTCGGGACCTTCTGGTCTTAGAGTTACCTCTATGGTACAAGTGCCCGAATAGAAATTGTAATGTAGGAAACATCAGCAGACATCTTCAATACATTAAATTTTAACGTGTATTGCTGTAACCTTAATGTATTCAGACTTCAGTGTGACGTCCAAGTACATAAAAATACATTAGCCTCAAACGTTACATCAGAATCAAACGTCTTGACGATGTAAAATTTGACATCAGAATACATCCAATGACAACAGAACCTAACGTTACATTAGAATCAAACATCATCACGATGTAATTTGTTGCACGCATAAAACATCAGAATACATCCAATGACAACAGAACCTAACGTTACATTAGAATCAAACATCATCACGATGTAATTTGTTGCACGCATAAAACATCAGAATACATCCAATGACAACAGAACCTAACGTTACATTAGAATCAAACTTCATCACGATGTAATTTGTTGTCCCTCGGTCTCTCGCCGCATGCAAAGTTTGTTTTGTCCTGAGTCAGCACTACACGGCGAATGAGAACGACCCTAATTTGAGGTTAGTTCACTCATAAATCGCAAAAAGTGCAGGAACTCAGTTTTGAATTAATTTCCCTCATGTTCCGAATATGAGAAAAGCAAAGATTGGATTCTCTGGATTCTCGTAAATTTTCCTTATTTTAGGGCAGATTTTTGAGGTTTTCCACAGGAAAACATGCGGCAAATTTACTCATCCTGCACTTTTTTCGATATTGAGTACACTGTACTCAAATTTGCGTTGATCTCATTGGCCGTGTACAGTTTTTTTTCGCAGTGGGAAAAGTTTGATTTGTTTACGAATTAGCCCGGGAAAGTGCCGACAATGTGTCCGTCGCGAGTTTTGGTGGCGATGCAATGTTTTTCTGGTAAGTAAATGTGAATTTATTAATTTAATGTAATGTAATTATTTTTTTTTTAGGAAAGTGTACCGGTACCAGTCCCAGCCGAATCCCGGTAGGGAATCCGAAGCTGGATCCCGGGCGGGGAGTTTGCAGCCAGATCTATTTGCAGGTTAGTCAGTGTATTTTTTTACTAAAAGCTACAAGCCCGATGACGGGTTCCGTAAACGGAGCCCGATGGGGATTCCGTAGACGGATCCCGATGGGGAAACCGAATACGGATCCCGATGGGAAAACCGAATACGGGTCCCAATGGGAAAACCAAATACGGGTCCCAATGGGGAAACCGAATACGGATTCCGATGGGGAAACCGAATACGGATCCCAATGGGGAAACCGAATACGGATCCCAATGGGGATTCCGTAGATGGATCCCGATGGGGAAACCGAATACGGATCCCGATGGGAAAACCGAATACGGGTCCCAATGGGGAAACCGAATACGGATCCCGATGGGGATTCCGTAGACGGATCCCGATGGGGAAACCGAATACGGATCCCGATGGGGAAACCGAATACGGATCCCGATGGGAAAACCGAATACGGATCCCAATGGGAAAAACAAATACGGGTCCCAATGGGGAAACCGAATACGGATCCCGATGGGAAAACCGAATACGGGTCCCAATGGGGAAACCAAATACGGGTCCCAATGGGGAAACCGAATACGGATTCCGATGGGGAAACCGAATACGGATCCCAATGGGGAAACCGAATACGGATCCCAATGGGGATTCCGTAGATGGATCCCGATGGGGAAACCGAATACGGATCCCGATGGGAAAACCGAATACGGGTCCCAATGGGGAAACCGAATACGGATCCCGATGGGAAAACCGAATACGGATCCCGATGGGAAAACCAAATACGGGTCCCAATGGGGAAACCGAATACGGATCCCGATGGGGAAACCGAATACGGATCCCGATGGGAAAACCGAATACGGATCCCGATGGGAAAACCAAATACGGGTCCCAATGGGGAAACCGAATACGGATCCCGATGGGGAAACCGAATACGGATCCCGATGGGAAAACCGAATACGGATCCCGACGGGGAAACCGAATACGGATCCCGATGGGGATTCCGTAGACGGATCCCGACGGGGAAACCGAATACGGATCCCGATGGGGAAACCGAATACGGATCCCGATGTGAAAACCGAATACGGGTCCCAATGGGGAAACCGAATACGGATCCCGATGGGGATTCCGTAGACGGATCCCTACGGGGAAACCGAATGCGGATCCCGATGGGGAAACCGAATACGGGTCCCAATGGGGAAACCGAATACGGATCCCGATGGGGATTCCGTAGACGGATCCCGACGGGGAAACCGAATACGGATCCCGATGGGGAAACCGAATACGGATCCCGATGGGAAAACCGAATACGGGTCCCAATGGGGAAACCGAATACGGATCCCGATGGGGATTCCGTAGACGGATCCCGACGGGGAAACCGAATACGGATCCCGATGAGGAAACCGAATACGGATCCCGATGGGAAAACCGAATACGGGTCCCAATGGGGAAACCGAATACGGATCCCGATGGGGATTCCGTAGACGAATCCCGGCGGGGAAACCGAATACGGATCCCGACGGGGAAACCGAATACGGATCCTGATGGGGAAACCGAATACGAATCTCGATGGGGAAACCGAATACGGATCCTGATGGGGAAACCGAATACGTATCCTGATGGGGAAACCGAATACGTATCCCTATGGGGAAACCGAATACGTATCCATTAGTTATCGTTTCGTGTGGAAAACCTGGAATTGGGTTGTATAATTTCGAAAAACAAACAAATTTTTATACATCATCTGAACGAGCTTCGTTTTCTGAGCACAAATATATTTTTATCGTTCCCATAGACATTCATCTCGATTTGTAAACCAAGATTTAAATTGTCGATAAATTGCTTTAGATGACATTAATATCCTTTTGAATGACAGTTCGCTCTATGGCGAGGGCCGCTAAAATGGTGATGTTTGCAAATGTAATAACACTGATTTATCATAGTTCATGTGAACCAAAATTTATGAAATTTTGGATTTAGGTTCCATTTTTAAACCATTTTTTCAACCTATTAATATTGGATTCAGAGAGCCGCAATAATGGCGGTAAGCTCCAACTCGGATTAACTTTTAATACCGTTCCTGTTTGGATGATCTGCGTATTGTTTGCATAGCATCGTGTTGAATAACTCTGATGTCGACATCAAAGCAGCCGGACATTCTTGATCGGGATATAATCCGAGGATAATACCGATTGAAGCTTACAGCCATAAGTGATTTAATGAATAATTCGCTGATTGCGACTCTCTGAAAACTAAATGCACAGGTTTCATACGTCAAACTCATCCTTTGCAACGTCCTCTTGTAACTTAATAATACAAAATGTCATAATAACGTAGGGTAGAGAACTACTTCGGCCTAATCGCCCGTTTTGGGCCTATCGAGCAGAAAACTTCAATAGAAATCCATTATTTCAGAGTTCGTCAATTCAATTATGCATTTGGTACGATACTTTAGTGAATAAGCTACGGAACGAAGTCAATGAGAACACGTGATATGAAGGTTTGCACCCATTATTCCCAAAAACAAAAGAAGCGCTCCGACCGAATCAATTTTTATCTTCATTCTTTATTCTTTATTTCCATTTCGTCAAGCCAGTGTAGACTACATACAATGATTAATACAATGTTTAATCTTCATCCGATAGGCCGAAGTGAATTCATTGGCGTTTCAATGGCGTTTCAATGCGCTAGGACGAGTTTAGAATCCGTAGGCCAAGTTTGGTGTCAAGAAGCAGTGTTAGACTTTTGACAATATCTCAACGATTGGTTTCTCTTTATCAAATCTTACGGTACATACGGAAAGGTAAATAAATTTGGAAGCCATCAGTAATAATAACATTCCGTTTGGTGCTAAACTACGCTAGATAAAGAAGGACTAAGTGCAGGTTGTGCTTAATAGGCCGGAAATGGGGTAGTTAACCCTATAATGACTTCATAATTCCGAAAAAACATGTTTCCGGGCGAAATAAGTTTCATCAAGCCTTATGATGGTACACAAGATGGGTCGCAAGTTTATATAAAATTTAAAGTGTGGTTCGCAATCAGGGAAAGACTGAGATTTAAGAATTCTAATGTAAATTTTTCATAAATAATG